TGTGTTCATCCAGCTCTACACCTTGTATATCCCTAATGTAGGTAGTATTGCATTTTAGGCAGTATAGACTTTATGGGCCGAAGGGCCCCTTCTGTATTATATGATTCAATGATTCCAGCTCCTTTCTGAAATCCAAATACAGGCATGACATGCAGACCTATTGTTTCAGATAGCTCCTAACCATTGTAAAGCAAAGAACTGTAGATGCTGGAAATGTGGAACAAAAACAGAAATTGCTGAAGAAACTGGCAGCATCTGTGGAGAGAAAGCAGAATTAATATTTTGGGGTATGCTGAAGACAGTGGCTTGGGGAAATGGGGAAAAGAAGTATTCGATAGGTGGAGGTGGAGGTGGAGCCCAGAGGGAGAGAAAAGCAGTTTGGCAGACAAAAGGATAGATAATGGTAAGCCAGGGAGGAAGAAAAGCTGATAACAAGAACCATTCGCAAGTGAAAATGAGTTGGCTGTGTTGAAAGCAGCCCACGTCATGACAGGGCCCGGGGTGTTAGGTGGGCAAGGACATGGAAGAAGGTGTTCAGGCCCAAAAATTATTGAACTCGATATTGAGTTCTGAAGGCTGCAGAGTCCCCAAGTGTAAAATGAGATGCCATTCTTCCCGTTTGTGCTGCCGCACCCAAGCTAGACCTGAAACATTAACTTTTCTTCCTCTCCACAGATGCTGCCAGATCTTCTTTTCTCATTCATGGGACATGGGTGTCGCTGGCTGGCCAGCATTTATTGCCCGTCCCTAGCTGCCCTTGAGAAGGTGGTGGTGAGCTGCCTTATTGAACCGTTGCAGTCCATGTGCTGTGGGTTGACCACAATGCTATTAGGGAGGGAATTCCAGGACTTTGACCCAGTGACAGTGAAGCATGGCAATATATTTCCAAGTCAGGATGGTGAGTGGCTTGGAGGGAAACTTGCTGATGGTGGTTCCCATATATCCATATATCTACTGTCCTTGTCCTTCTAGATAGAAGTGGCTGTGGGCTTGGAAGGTGCCGTGTAAAGATCTTTGGTGAATTTCTGCAGTGCATCTTGGAGACAGTACATGCTACTGCTACTGTGAGTCAGTGGTGGAGGGAGTGGATGCTTGTGGATGTGGTGCCAATCAAGTGGGCTGCTTTGTCCTGGATGTTGTCAAACTTCTTGAGTGTTGCTAGAACTGCCCCAATCCAGGCAAGTGGAGAATATTCCATCACACTCCTGACTTGTGCCTAGTAGATGGTGGACAGGCTTTGGGGAGTCAGGAAGTTCCTTATTTGCTGCGATATTCCTACAGTGGGTTATTACAGGAATTTGAGAGACGATTAATTTTTGTTTGGAAGAATGATGAGAGACAATGGCCAGATCTTCTCGTCTCCAGATGGTCAGAGACAAAGAGTACCCTGACGGATGCATTATGGGATCACTCACAAGTCCTGGTGCACTGATTATGTGATCATTGCTCAAGAAATTTAAACTGCCAATGAGGAAATTGCTGTCTGAAAATGTCCCCCAGAGACTTCAGAGAATTTGATTTACTTAGCTGAAGAGTTAGGCAGAAAAATTTATCATGGCTTATTAGAAACCAAAAGTGATTGAGTCAGGAAAGTGGGTGGCTAAGGTATTAAATGAATACTTTCCAGCTGACTTTACCAAGGAACAAGATACAGAGCAGGTCATTGTGAAAAACGGGGCAATTCAAACACTTGAAAAAATTACAATTAAGCAGGAAAGGGTATAGGATGAACTGTCTGTATTGAGAGTTGACAAGATATTACAGAGTGCAGAAAAGATTTCTGAGAATGGTTTGAGAGATGAGAAAAGTTAGTTATGAAGAAAGATTGGAGAAGTTGAAGTTGTTTTCCTTGAAGAAGAGAATGTTGAGTTGAAATTTGTTAGAGATATCCAAGATCATGAGAGGCGTTGATAGGAAAATAATATTCAAATAAGCAGAAGGATCAAGAACAAGAGGACACAGATTTAAGTTAACCGGTGAAAGAAGTAATACCGACATGATGAAGACATTTATCAAACTATGAGCAGTTAGGGTCTAGAACGCAGTGCCTGAGAGTGTGGTGGAGGCAGATTCAATTGGCATATTCTCGAGAAACTTGAATTATTATCTAAAAAGGTAGAATGTATAGGGCTACAGAGAAAAGACCAGGGAGTGGCGTAATAACATATTGTTCAAAAAGAGGCCTAGAACAATCATGACAAGCTGAATAGCCTCTTACTGTGATTCAATAATAGCCTGAGAGATGTACCTTCCAGGGCTGATAGAGTCAGTGGTGTCCCAACATTCCAGCTGTGATTTCTGAAGCAATCATTACCCCTGCAATATAACTGTTATGACCTTAGTTTACTTTGTTTTCCACATTAGTGCATACTATTGAACTCTTTCTCAGCAATTAATGAAGATTTAATTATTATTTGATTTGAATTATTGTTTTGAATTTTCAGGTCTTGGTGTCCTGACAGAATTCTCTCACAAGCTCGACACTACATTGCTGAGGCAATGGAGGCAAAATATGCAGAGCCAGTGATTCTAAACCTGGAGACAACCTGGGAAGAAAGTGATGCACAAACTCCTCTGATCTGTTTCCTGTCAATGGGATCTGATCCCAGCAATCAGATTGAAGGACTGGCCAAAAAGCTTGAAATTGGTATGGATTCAGTCAATGTAGAGAATACAACTGTCATCTGGTAGCATCCCCAGCATTTCTTTGTTACACTTTACATTTATGTTTTTCATCATTTTTCCATATACCAACAAATTACCAATGGACAGAATCCTTATCAACAAGCCCATGAAAGATGTCTTCAACATACTTAGCATCTAGGCAGTGCAGTAGTTTTCTAACGTTGTATAAATACATTAATTCTATTAATTCATCAGTTCTTTCATTTGTTATTTTCACTGTAATAATAGAAATATAGAAAATAGGAGCTAGGTAAGTTGTTTGATCCATTGACCATTTTCTTCCATTCAATATGATCACACTTATCCTCCATCTCAGCACCGTACCCCCCACTCTACCCATACCCCTTGACACCTTTAGCCTTGAGACATTTATATATTTCTTTCTTAAGTATATTCAATGTTTTTACCTCCATAGACTTGTGTTAGAGAATTCCACAGGCCCACCACTCTCTGAGTGATGATGTTTCTCCTCATCTCAGCCCAAAGTGACCTATCCATGTTACATTGCATTGACATATATTTGCTCATTCACTCAACTTATCTAAATTGCCCTGAAAATTCTTTACAGCCTTCTCACTATTCACAATCTTATCTAGTTTGGTGCTGCCAGAAATATTACATTTCATTCCCTCATTTGCATCAGTCTTTTCAGTGGAAGATACTTCAAGCATAACATTATTACTAAATAATTGGGGGGCTGTGTGGAATTAAGTACCATCACCACTGCTAGAGAACTAGTATTAGAACTAATGGTGCTAAAGGCAGGGAAGTCCCTTGGTCCCAATGGCTTGTGTCCCAGGATCCTAAAATACTTGGCTACAGAGATAGTGGATGCATTGATTGTAATTTCCCAATAATCTTTGGTCCTGGAGACGTACAACAGGAAGGGAAAACTGCTAATGTGACACCCTCATTCAAAAAGGGAAGGAGGCCAAAAATGGTTAAGCATAGGCTGATTATTGTTTCAAGACGTCTGTCCAGCCAACAATATAAATTCATATTTAAATAACACATCTTCAAAACAATATATAAAAAATGAAGAAAGCAAAAACCACTAATTTAATACTATAGTTTATATCTATGTATGCTCTGAATCCAGCTTCATGTTTGCTCCTCACCCCACCAAAAGTTCCCTTAATTTATAAAGTTTTGAGTTTTTAATCACTTCATTTCCAAAAAAAAACCAGCTTTCCAGAATTTGCTTTGATTTCTCCTCAGGGTTCCAGCTATTCAGAAAGATATGAGCAACGAAAACAAAAGTTGCTGGAAAAGCTCAGCAGCTCTGGCAGCATCCATGAAGCAAAAAACAGAGTTAATGTTTCAGATCTGGTGACCCTTCCTCAGAGTCCTGAGGAAGGGTCACCGGACCTGAAACATTAACTCTGATTTTTTCTTCACAGATGCTGCCAGACCTGCTGAGCTTTTCCAGCAACTTCTGTTTTTGTTCCTGATTTACAGCATCCACAGTTTTTTCAATTTTTATTCAGAAAGAAATGAGGTTTCCCAGTGATGCTCCCATTAGTTTTTGGCTAAGCAATCAGCCAATTTTGCTTCAAAACATCCTTACTGTGGCTATCTCAGCTCAAACATTGGCCAGAAAACCGCTCCTGCTCAATCTTCAATAGCCAGCTCCAGAATAGAATTAACATAACTTGGAACACATCTTTGTCTGGCAGCTCTGTGAATGAAGCAAGGAACAGATGTTGCAATATAATTAACCCACTCAGTATGTGCATTTCTCTTCCAGTATTTTTCTTTGTATCTTTCACCTGTAGTATTTTTTCCCTTTCTCTTCTCATACTGTAAACATAAAATGTTCGCTTTCATGTGTATTATTCCAGAGCACTTCTTCTGAAATGAGAATGCAGACCAATCTCACTGGGCAATCCTTAAATCTCATGGATTTTGCATACTGGGTCATATGACTCCTCTATGTAAACATTGCTGATTCAGTGACTCCAGTCAGTGAAACCCTTTCAGTTAGTATTTTACTGTCATTGCGGTTAAATCCAATTGATATTTATCTATGCTATAATCATAACACAACACTAAATATTTCTGTGTAAACAATAACGGATTTTTTTTCTTTAGATTGCAGGGCAATATCAATGGGCCAGGGACAAGAAGTACATGCCAGAAAGTTAGTGGCTATGTCGATGCACGAGGTCAGTAAAAGTATGAGTGCAAATCAGTTTTATGCCATATCAGTCATTTTCAATATCCAAGGATTTTCATGAACTTTGAACTGTTCAAGGTGGGGAGCATCCTTCGCTGTACAAGGAATTGGTGAGACCAAAATTTTAGAGGATGGTTTTGGGTGCCCCTACTTGAGGAGGAATGTAATTGCCTTAGACGCAGTTCAGTGCAGGTTCAATAGCTTAATGCCAGAGATGAGGAGTTTGTCTTAAGAAGAGAGATTGAACAGTTCAGGCTTGTACTCCCTCTAGTTTAGAAGAATGAGAGACCTAATTGTGGCATATGAAATGCTAAAGGGAATTGACAAAGTAGATGTATGAAGGATGTTTCCCCTTGTTTCGTGATCAAGAATGAGAGTTCATAGTTTTAGAATAAGGGTTTACCCTCCCTTTCACTAGAAAACAAATCAATCTCGCTGATTATGTCTGAATTTCCAATTCTATCAATGCAATGCTCAAATTGGGGAATTACAAAGGAAATAGATTCTATTAGAGCGTCACAGTTTTCTGTAATCAGTGATTAGTCAAGTTTTGGTACCCATGTATCTGGAGAACTTCAGCATCTTTGACTTGATTCCAGGGTATGAATGCCCAACACAAAGTCATTTTCGTCGCTGACTTGAGCCAACTTTCCAAAATTCAGTCAGTGAGAATTTTAAAAACTCACAATTGGCAATTCGTAGAATTTTGATTTAATTCACAAATATAGATTGAATTTTTAAAAATTAATAAATTGAAAATTTGTCTCAGTAAAGGTGCCACGGAACTGCAATTGATGGTTGTAAAAACAAAACAGTTTTGAAAATTTATCATCCTGTCTGGCTTACAATGACTTGAGACCACTAACTTTGCCTTCTGAAATAGCTGAACAAGCAACTCAGTTGTATCAACCTGCCTAGAAAAGTCAGTAAGGAACAAAATCAGATAAACCACTGCATCAGTAATGGCAATGGCATAGCCTTCTTGACCTTGCAATGTTTTCTTTACAAACATAATCTAAAAGTGAGAGAGCTGGCCCATACATGCTTATCATATCTTTTCTAAAGGATGATACGAGATACATTTTGACAGTAATTACAATGGTTTCATGGTCACCATTACTAATACTAGATTTTAATTCTACATTCATTGACTGAATTGAAATTCCACTAGCTGTCACAGTGAGATTTGACCCATGACAGCAGAGCATTAACCTGGGCCTCTTGAATTGCTCATCCAGTAACATAACTATGATGCTACTGATTGCCATATGCACTTTAAAGCTAATCCAATGATTAATATTCTAGTGACATACCTTCTTAATCATGTATAATCATCACTAATACTAAAATCAGAGCACCCCCAGTTCTTCCTTGTTTATTAATTATTTCACTTGGTTTCTGCCTGGCTGTGTACCTCAATTGGTAAAGGATTTCAAAGTTACAAGAAAAGTATCTTGAACTTTTTCAAGAACTCTTATTGTCCACATTGTTCTGAAGAGATGTCATCCAATCTTTTTTTCCAAGATTTATGTGAATCTATATAAATATACCTCAAACCTATAAAGAAGGACACTTTACTATGGAAGAGGCACGGAGTACCACAGTAACAATGGGCTGAATTTTCCTAATTGTTATGCTGTGTTATTTTCCAAGACTGCTTCAACGCTCATGGTGACTTTTTTCACACTACCCTCTGCTCTTCACCTTATTAGTTATGCAACCAAGGTTTTTGAGAAGATTTGTAGCTCGGGTTGTTGATGTGGTTGTTGACTTGCTCGCCATGCTGGTAAGTTTGTTCATAAATATTTTATCACCATGCTAGGTAACATCATCAGTGCATCTCCGGTGAAGTGTCGGTGTTCTGTCCCGCTTGCTATTTGTGTGTCTTGGTTTGCTGGGGTGGGTGGCATCACTTCCGGATTTGTTTCTTAGTTGTTGGTATATGGGGTCCAGTTCTACATGTTTGTTAATGGAGTTCGGGTTTAAGTGCCAGTCTTCCAGGAATTCTCGTGTGTGTCTTTGTTTGGCTTGTCCTAGCATGAGAATTCCTGGAGGCCTGGCACTCCAACCTGAACTCCATTAACAAACATGTAGAATGTTTGCGAACAAACTTACCAGCTCGGCGAACAAGTCAACAACCAAATTACGCAACCATCCTCTTTGGTATCTTTCTCATGCATTCATCTGGCAGGAGAGGCAAAATTCCCACCACTACCACCCCTGGGGTGGCACAGTGGCACAGTGGTTAGCACTGCTGCCTCACAACACCAGGGACCTAAGTTCGATTCTACCCTTGGGTGACTGTCTGTGTGGAGTTTGCATGTTCTCCCTGTGGCTGCGTGGGTTTCCTCCAGGTGTTCTGGTTTCCTCCTACAGTCCAAAGATGTACAGGGTAGGTTGATTGGCCATGCTAAATTGCCCATAGTGTTCAGGGATGTTTAGGTTAGGTGGGTTAGATATGGGAAATGCAGGGGTAGAGGAATGGGTCTGGGATACTCTTCGGAGGGGTAATGTAGACTTGCTGGACCGAATGGCCTTTTTCCAAACTGTAGGGAATCTATGGATGATTACCTTCTGGTGTACAAGCTGTTGCACTAGATTTAAAGTCCAGCCACACACCACTTAAGTTGCTGCAAACCAAAAACTACTTCACACACTGTCCTCTTAGCAAACCAAATTCTTTCAGAAGGAAAGCTATCTCCCCATTCTTTGGATAGGGATCTGCAGGTCTCAGTGGACAGTCTGATCAAGAGAAGAAATATCCCCTACCCAGTAGACCATCAGCGGAGGCCATGATATTAAACACAGCCAATCTGGACACAGATAGAGACTCAGGTCAGTTCTGTCTGTCTCTAGGGTCATACAGAATGCACAACAGCACAGGATGAAGGTCAATGACTTTCTGTGCTCCATAAAGCTGCCAACATTTCTCTGCTACCTCACAGTCACTAACTTTGACACTTTACATAAACCTCAACAATGCTCATAGACTACCAAACTTACCATTGCATGATGCACTTCCACTCAATTGTTCTCACTCATCTTATCCTCAACAACTATTAGCCCTTCCTATGCTGCAACTGAAAAGCTATGCAACTAACAGAGGCTGGCAGCTTCCACAAGGGTGACTTCTCAGAAATGAAACTAAGATCCATAAGGTCATCCAGGAGCTTGTGACATCTGCCAGGTAATCTGTCTTTCAAAGTTGGAGAGTGTCATTATTTGGTCTCTCAGGAGATGAGGTGAGAATTAAGACCTGAACAGAAATTTATATAAATGAATTTGACGTGAATATAGGAGGAATGGTTAGTAAGTTTGCAGATGACATAAAAATTGGTGGTGTAGTGGGCAGTGAAGATTATCTCAGAGTACACAGGACCTTGATCGGATGGGCCAATGGGTCGAGAAATGGCAGATGGTGTTTAATTTAGATAAATTTGAGGTGTTGCATTTTGATGAGGCAAATCAGGGCAAGACTTATACAGTTAATGGTAGCTCCCCAGGGGTCTTGCCAAACAAAGGGACCTAAGGGTGCAGGTGCATAGTTCCCTGAAAGTGGAGTCGCAGATAGACAGAGTGGTGAAGAAGGTGTTTGGTACAGGTGCCTTTATTGGTTAGTACATTGAGTGTAGGAGTTGGGATGGCATGGCATGTTGCAGTTGTACAGGAGATTGGTTAGACCACTTTTGGAGTACTGCATTCATTTCTAGTCTCCCTGCTATAGGAAAGATGTTGTTAAACTTTAAAGGATTCAGAAAAGATTTATGAGGGTGTTGCCAGGTGTGGACAGTTTGAGCTATAGGGAGAGGCTGAATAAGCTGTGGCTATTTTCTCTGGAATGTTGGAGGCTGAAGGGTGACTTTATAGAAGCTTATAAAATCATGAAGGGCATGGATAGAGTGAATAACCAAGGTCTTTTTCCCAAGGTAGGGGAGTTCAAAATTAGAGGGCGTAGGTTTAAGGTTAGAGGGGAAAGATTTAAAAGGGACCTAAAGGATAACATGTTCATGCAGAGGGTGGTGCGTGTATGGAATGAGCTGCCAGAGGAAGTGGCGGAGGCTGGTACAATTACAACATTTAAAAGGCATCTCGATGGGTACACAAGTAGGAAGGGTTTAGAGGGATATGGGCCAAATACCGGCAAATGGGACCAGATCAGTTTAGGATATCTGTTCAGCATGGACATGTTTGACCGAAGGGTCTGTTTCCATGCTGTATATCTCTATGACTGTAAATCAGGTGAGTTAGGATATTAATGAGGCACATAGAACTGAGGTTGTTGCTGCTTATCACTGAGATTCTGATCTTACCACTGAAACCGTCAGGGGAAAAATCAGAAATTTTCCCTCAACATGGAAAGTCAGATTTTTAAACTCTCACCATATTTTACCATAATTCTTGCCATTGCTTCTGTGGATCAAGGTATGGAAACATTCCACCCAGGCTTGTATCTGCAAGGAAGAGGCAGCTCTGATCGAGTCATATGGTCTGGAGAATTTTCAGAGAGAGGCCATGTGACTCAATTTGAATGTGAAATAAGCTTATTATATTTTGAAGTCAGAGAGAGAGAATTTGAGTGCAGCCATTGCACCCTCTCTCTTTGTTCACAACTGTTGTCAGCAGAACGCATGAGCTAAAAGTGCACCAGAAGGCATCCTTAGTACTTGTAGAGAATTCCTGGAAGGGATTCTTAAGATTGTTTCCTACCATCCAGAGCAAAGGGAATCTAGATATAACTGTTCCTGGAAGACATCCCACAGCCAGCAACTTGTGAGCACACATAAAGATATACATTTATATATGAAAATATGCAGGATTTTTTTGCATAATTAAAATTGTTTGTCAATAATCTTTATATCTTTATTTAAGTTTATTTTGTTAATAGGCCAGTTATTTGTTGCTGACTGAAGAAACCTGACCAATTTGCCCTTAATTCTGAACATCACTCAGTCTGAGATCTATATAACTGGTTAAATTACCAACTCAGTTTAATTTAAAGTTTATGAAGGGCTGGGACTAGTAAACGAAATAGAGATCCCTCCAACTTTGCTTGTAACAATTTGTAAGTTTTTTGCAAATCCTTATAAGCAAAGGTGATAATTTATTAAAGTGCTATCAATAAATTCCACGTTTGGAGTTTTGAGCATCGCAGATGACCTCAAACAAACACAGAGAATGTTGGAGAAATGCAGCAGGTTTGGCAGCATCTGCATCAGATGACCTCAATCCTACTTGTAGGTTTTCTTTGAAACATTCTGGAATTTGATCAGCCTGGATAAACTAACTTTTGCTACTTATACCACAGGGCGGATGGGTTCTACTGCAGAACTGCCATTTGGGATTGGCTTTCATGGATGAGCTGCTAGAAACCTTACTAATAAGTGAGAATGTGCATGACTCTTTCCGAGTGTGGCTAACCACTGAGCCGCATCCAAAGTTCCCGATCACATTGCTGCAGGTTAGTGTTTACACTACAGAATAACAGCAGATTAGGAAACAAACAAAATAGATGGATTTACAAGGTATCTTCAACATCTTGACATTGCAATCATCTGCCTCTGTGTTAGGGACCAATGCAGGAATTTATTTTCTAAATGCTGCATCTTCATGAATCCAAGGTGCTTGTATAACATGGACTCCACTGTTCCCTTTGTGAAAGTAACGTCAATGGTGGGGTCTGTTCAAGATTCAATAGCGGGATATAATTCAAGGAACAGACTTCTAGTTTAGGGAGACCCTACTTTTGTGGTCATCTGTTGGAAGTTTTGCTCCTAATGTATCAATGAAAATTCAGAAATCATCAAACAGTCAAATTCATTGGTGTTAATGCGCTAATGGTTGGAGGACTGGCTAACTAATAGAAAATAGAGTTAGGATAAGGGTAGCATATTCAAGATAGTGTGTGTGTTAGTGTGATAGTGATGTGCTAGGGATCAGTGCTGGGTCTACAAATATTTACAATATATATCAATGACTTGGATGACTTGAATGCACTATCACCAAGTTTGCAGATGACACAAAAATAGACAGGAAGACAAATGGTAAGGATGACACAAACAATTTATACAGAGATATAGGTTAAATGAGTGGACAAAAACTTGGCAGATGGAATATAATGTGGGAAAATATGAGGTTTGTACTTTCGCAGAAAGAAGAACTGATTCTAACTTTAATGGAGAAATACTTTATAAAGCTACAAAACATAATGATTTTGAAGTCGTCTTCTATTAATCTCAAAAAGCTAGCATCCAAGTTTAGCAGGTAATAGGGAAGGCAAACTGCGCATTATTTCAAAGGGAATTATGTATAAATATAGGGAGATATTGCTAAAAATACAAGGCACTGGTCAGATCATGAACAGTTTTGGGCCTCTTATTTAAGGAAAGATGTACAGACACTGAAAGCAGTCCAGAGAAGGTTCACTAGGCAGTTACCAAATTATGGATGGACTGCCTTCTGAGGAGAGGTTGAGTAAATTGGGCCTGAATTCATTGGAGTTTCAAAGAATAAGAGACAGCCTTACTGAAAAATACAAGATCTTTACGGACTTAACAAGGCAGATGAGTAAGGCAATCAAGGATTATGGGGAAAAAGCAGAAAAATGGAGTTGAGGATTGTCAGATCAGCCATTATCTTATTGGAAGGCAAAGTAGACTCGATGAGTAAGACTGAATGGCCTAATTGTGCTCCTATGTTTTATGGTCTTATCCTGGGCCCCTGTACATTAGAGTTATGGGAAAGTAGTGGAACACATGGGGACACAGGGATCTTCAGGATCAGTGATTTTGTAAGTTTGTATGTGCAATGAGTTTTTGCTATTTCTTTAAATGACTTTGATAAAGGAGCTAAAGATACCGTAGCTAAATTTACTGATAGGTAGGAAAGTAAGTTATGAAGTAAAGATAAGGAGATATAGAAGCAAAGAGATTTGGATACATTAAATGAGTGGGCAAAGATCTGACAAAGGACTATAGTATGGGAAAATGTGAAAATATTCATTTTGCTAGGAAGCATATAAAATAATTATCTAAGTGCTGAGAGATTGCAGAATTCTGAGATGCAGGGGGATCTGGGCATCCTAATGCAGTAATTGCAAAAGGTTACCTTGCAAATCCAGCAAGTAACTATATTATGATCCCAGCTGATAATTATATTGGTCAGCTAGTTTAAGTCAAATCCCAGAATGAAGAATTAGCTTAAAAGACCAAAAAACTCAACTTCCCAAACTAAGAAGCCTTCTTGAGCTCTACACTTCCTACTCACTCACTTGAGATATTTCACACTTTATAATTTTTTTTCAATCTAGCTTCACAGTTCATATTTGTTTTTGGTTTGAACAAGGTGGGTTCAAGGACTAAAACTACATACAGTACTCCAGATGTGATCTCACACATCTAGCAGCTTCAGTAAAGCTTCCCTGCCTTTATATTCCATTCTCCTTGCAATTACTGAGAATATTTCATTTGCCTTGCTCATCACTTGCTGTGCCTGCACACTAACTTTGTGACTTATGCACCATCAAGTCCTGCAATCTCTCCTCATTTAAAAAAAGCATACCGCTTCATTGTTCTTTCTCTGAAGAGAACAAGTTCACATTTACACAGGTTTTCCAAAGAACAAACAAAGATCAAAGAACAATACAGCACAGAAACTGGCCCTTTGGCCCTCCAAGCCTGCTCCAACATATTTTGCCCTTCCATGCTAAAACTGTTTTCACTTACAGGATCTGTATCTTTCTATTCCCTTCCTATTTATGTACTCATCCAGGTACTTCTTGACTGCTGTTATTGTGTCTGCTTCCACCACCTCCTCTGGCAACACATTCCAGGCGCTCACCACCCTTTGTGTGAAAATATTGCTTCGCATATCTCTTTTAAACTTCCCCTCTCAAACCTTGAACCTGTGTTCCCTAGTAATTGATCCCTTCACCCTGGAAAAAAGCCTCATACTTTTCACTCTATCCATGCCACTCACAGTCTTATAAACTTCTGTCGGTCATCCCTCAACCTTGTGCATTCCAGTGAAAACAAACCCAGTCTATCCAACCTTTTTTTAGCTAAAATCCCCCATACCAGGCAACATCCTGGTAAACCTTTTCTGTACCCTCCCCAAAGCATTCACATCCTTCAGGTAGTGTTGTGACCAGAATTGTATGCAATATTCCAAGTCCGGCCTTCTATAAAGCTACAGCATAACTTGTCTATCCTTATACTCACTGCCCCTTCCAATGAAGGCAAGCATGCCCTCGGCCTTTTTTTACTACCTTATCTACCTTTGCTGCCATTTCAGTGATCTGTAGATTTACACACCCAGATTTCTCTGCAAATCAGTACTGCTAAGGGTTCTGACATTCACTGTATAATCTCCACCTGTATTTGACCTTCCAAAATGCATTACCTCAGATTTGTCCAGATTAAACTCCATCTGCCATTTTTCGCCCCATGCCTCCAACTGATCTATATCCTGCTTTATCTCCTCACTATCCACAACTCCACCAATCTTTGTGTCATCTGCAAACTTACTAATCAGGCCAGCTACGTTTTCCTCCAAATCATTTATGTAGATCACAAACAACAGAGATCCTAGCACTTATCCTTGTGGAAGACTACTAGTGACAGACCTCCATTCCTAAAAGCATCCTTCCACCGTTAACCTCTGTCTCAAATGACTAAGCCAGTTCTGTATCCATCTTGCCGGCTCACCCCTGATATCATGTGACTTCACCTTTTGTACCAGTCTTCCATGACGGACCTAGTCTTTAATGAAGTCCATGTAGACAACATCAACTGCTTTTCCCTCATCATCATCCCCATGCTGTCTATCGCTAATAAGTCTATTTGCTTCTAAATGCATATAGATCTTGTCCCTGAGAATCTTTTCCAATAATTTCCCAACCACCAACATGAGGCTCATAGGCCCATAATTTCCAGGATTATCCCTGCTACCCTTCTTAAACAATTGGACAACATTGGCAATTCTCCAGTCCTCTGGGACCTCACCTGTGGCCAAAGAAGATACAAAGTTATCAGTCAATGCTCCAGCAATTTGTTCTGTTGTGTCCCTGAATATTCTGGGATAGATCCCATCAGGACCTGAGACGTACATAACTTAATACTTTTTAACACACACAACATCGACTTGGGGAGATGATGGCCAAATGGTATTATTGCTGGAATATTAATTCAGAGATCCAAATAACATTCTGGGGACCTGGGTTCGAATTCTGCCATGGCACTTGGTGGAATTTGAATTCAATAAAATATCTGGAATTAAGAATCTAATGATGACCATGAATCGATTGTTGGAAAAACCCATCTGGTTCACTAACGTCCTTGAGGGAAGGAAACTATCATCCTTACTTGGTCTGGCTTACGTGTGACTCCAGCCCCACAGGAATGTGGCTGTCTCTGAACTACCCTCTGGGCAATTAGGGATGGGCAATAAATGTTGCCTATCCAGCGATGCCCTCATCCCACTAATAAATTTTAAAAAAACCTCTTCCTTTTTAACAGCAACTTGGCTTAGAAATTTGACACTCCCTTCCCTGAGATCATCCTCCACTAATTCCTTCTCTTTGGTGAGTACCGACAAAGTGTTCATTTAGGGCCTCATCTACTTCTTCTGGCTCCATACATAGATTTCCACCTTTGTCCTTGAGTGGGCCAACCCTTTCCCTGGCTACCCTCCTGCTTTTTATATATGTATAAAAGCCTTGGGAGTCTCTTTAATCCTGTTTGCTAACAACTTTTCATGACCCCTTTTAGCCCTTCTAATTCCTTGTTTGAGTTCTTTCCTACTTTCCTTATATACTTCAAGGCCTTCATCAGTTCCCATCTTCCTAGACCTTATGTATGCTTCCTTTGTCTTTTTGACCAAGGTCATAACATCCCTGGTCATCCAAGGTTCACGAAACTTACCATATTTATCTCGCAGGAACACGCCTCTCTTGAACTCTTATCGACTGCCATTTCAAATACACCCACATGTCCGATGTAGAATCACCTTCCACCTTCAAACAGCTACCTCCAATCAAAATTCTTCACTTCCTGCCAAATATTGTTCTAGTTCACCTTCCCCCAGTTTAACACCTTTAGCTGAGAACTGCTGATATCCCTATCCATGAGTATCTTAAAACTCACAGTATTATGGTCACTACTCCCGAAATGCTCCCTCACTGAAACCTCACTCACCTGGCCAGGCTCATTTCCCAAAACCAGGTCGAGTACAACCGATTCCCTGGTTGGGCTATTTGCATGTTGTGTCAAGAATCCCTCCTGAATGATCCTTACAAATTCTGCCCCATCCAAGCCCCTAGCACAAAGTAAGTCCCAGTCAGTATAGGGGAAGTTAGAATCACCCCATCAACAACCCAGCTGTTTTTACATCTTTCTGAAATCTGTATACATATCTTTCCTCTATCTCCCGCTAGCTGTTAGGAGGCCTGTAGTATACCCCCAGCATTGTCATTTCACCTTTCCTATTCCAGAGTTCTACCCATATTGCCTCACTGCACGAATCCTCTGATGTATCCTGTTATATTGCATATCTGCTACATTCCATCTACCAATTTCCTGTCCGCTCATTTAGCAGGATTTGCAGACTCACTACCTCCTTTTGACAAATTACTTTCCCACCTATCTTGGTGACATGGCAAATTTAGCTACCATACTTTCAGTCACTTCATCCAAATCATTGATGCCGAATACAAATAGTTGGGAATCCAGCCTTATTTCAAGTAGTATTCAGTTGTACTGCCTGTATGGCTGGAATGTGGGTCATTCTGGTGCCCATGGTTTACATGTGGTTACTGAATGAATGATCGGTGAATAAGATGTGAATAGCATGTTCAGAATTTATGACAGACAGGCTTAGAAAACTGCATCGAACTCTGATTATTTAATTTACACAAATCATTAGTTATTTAACCAATTCATTTCACTCGCTGTTTACTTGAAGATTAATTGTCCATTGTTTATTTTCCAGACATCCATCAAATACACTAATGAGCCTCCGCAGGGAGTGCGGGCAGGACTCAAAAGAACATTCACTGGAATCACTCAGGACCAAATAGAATATTCAAATCTACCCATGTGGAGACCACTATTGTACGCTGTTGCTTTCCTGCACACCACAGTTCAGGTATTTGAGCCCAAATCTGACTATCTGACTATAATCTAATCATATATTCTAAAATTATACTAATTCACTGAGTATGATTAACTTGATCCTTAAGGTGGGAGACTTAGTAAATGGGTGGTACTTGCTGGTGCCTCACTACCTTATATTTAAACTTAAAAAAGGAACATTTACTAGAATCATTGAAGAATAATTAAAATGTTACAAGTTATTCATGTAGAAATCACATTGTAGACTGTTACTTCCTTGTATACCACTGTCTAGGAAATTGGGATTCGAAATGTACCTAAAATGAAAGCAAAGTACTGCAAATACTGGAATAACAAGAACAATGCTGGAGAAACTTGGCCAGCCTGGCAGCGTTTGTGGAGAATTCATGTTTTGAATATAACATTTCTTCGGGGCGGGGGCAGTGCCGGGGGGAGGGGGGCAGGGTATGTGGTGCAGGAGGATTGGTTAGCTCAGTTGGTTGATTTGTGACACAGAGTCATGCCAACAGTGTGGGTTCAAATCCCACACCTGCTGAGGTAACCATGAGGGACACTCCTCCCTGACCTCTCCCCTCACCTGGGATGCAGTGACCCTCAAGTTAAACCACCACTAGTCATTACTCTCTATTGACACAGCAGCCCTATGGTTTAGTAAGACTTTGGTGACTTTACCTTTACTAACACTTTTTCAGAACCCACGTGGCCTCCAGTGTTACCAGTGTCATGATTCCAAAGTTAAGATTCGGTAAATTCGAGGAAAAAACTGTTAACCTGACTATATAAATGTAAGTTCCATGTGGGTTACAGACAGACACTCAAATATGTAACAAGTTTTGTCCAAGAGATAACAAAGTCTTTGATGATTCACTGAGAGAAGGTAAATTGGGCATTGATCAGAACAAAAGATAACCACACATGGAGTTACGTTCCAGAACACAAATGCATTATTGGAACGTAACTCCATGTTTGCAAAGATCACCCTGTAACAGCTGCCATCTTAGCTTGCTAGCTGACAATCACCTGGATTCTCCAGTGGCCAGACAGTGATTATTCCAGGATAAATGGGAGTTGTGCGTAGACTCCAAAGGAACCCAGGAAATTAAAGATTCACCTGGGCAATTCCCCTGGGCCTGGAACTTCCCAAATCTCTCCATTTAAATTGGAGAATGTAGATAGTTCCAATGAAATTAAGTAACTCATTACTCAGAAAAAGTTTAACTATTAAAGGCACCTGGCTAACTACTGACTCCATATTTGCATCACAAACCCCCAACTACAGCTCCCCCAGACAACCCTGATTTAATACCCCTGGGAAACAACCATTTTCACTCATAGAATTATAGATTCTGTGATTTTATGAATCAATGATTCACTTGTTCAAGACTCCACCCCACCTTTTCCTGCTCCAGACCCAATTCTCCCAATTATCCCACTCTGGACCCAATCCTCTGGACATGAGAACCCACACCTTCTCGGTAATCTCACACTTACATTGTGTACTTACTGTTTGATACCAACTGTCAAAGTGGTTGTGTGTGATTCTGGATCTTCACATTTCAGAATACAGAGGTGGCTGCATTGAAAAGGGGGTGTGATTTCCCTCTTTGGACAGTTCTGCACCATGACGACTAGGTTAGGATTGTTTTCGCTGGAGTTCAGACAAATGAGGGGGGATCTCATAGAGACTTATAAAATTCCAACAGAACTAGACAGGGTAGATGCAGGGAGGATATTCCTGATGGTGGGTGCATCCAGAACCAGGGGCCAGACTGAGGATTTGGGGTAGACCGTTTAGGACAGAGATGAGGAGACATTTCATCACCCAAAAAGTGGTGACCCTGTAGAATTCATTCCCAGAGAAAGTAATTGATGCCAAAACATTGAATGTATTCAAGAGGCAGCTAGATATAGCACTTAGGGTGAATGGGATCAAAGGTTATGGGGAGAAAACAGGAATAGACTATTGAGTTGGACGATCAGCCATGATTGTAAAGAATGGCGGAGCAGGCTCAAAAGGCCAAATGGCCTCTTTCTGCTCCTATCTTCTTTGTTTCTATATTTCTTCTATGAGAGAACTGTGAGTATGGAGGTATAGCTTCATGCTTCTGAAGGAGCCCTGACTGGAATCTCCTGTTAGAATTGTGGAGTTCTCTCCTTTCATAGAAAAGGGACAGGTCATTCCTCAGAAAATCTATTTCAAAAGGAGAAGCAATCTCAACAAAGAAAGATTTCATCTTGAACCATTCAGGACAAATAGGAAATTGGGAAGAGAAATCAAAAGTGCCACATTTGCATAACAAGAAGCCAGGAATCTTCATTTTCTCTCAAAATCTGCTATCTTGCACAGTCCAACTGTGTAAGAAAACAACAACTATGAAACTACAGCAGTCATCATAGCTACTTTATCTGACTTCATGTGTTAGCTTCTTCACTTTAACAACAAAGAACTGAAATAGCATACCCCAACATTACACAACAGAGTCTGCTGCATTCGCTGCACACAATGTGGTCTCCTCTACATTGGAGAAACGAAGCATAGACTGGGTGACTGCTTCGCAGAACATCCATGTTCTGCTCACAATAAAGATCCTGACCTACCTGTTGCCTGCCACGTTAACACACCACACTGTTCCCTGGCCAACAACCCTGTCTCTGGCTAGCTACAGTGTTCGAGCAAAGCTCAACGCAAGCTGGAGGAAAAATACCTCAGTTTCCAGTTGGGGACCCTGCAGCCCTCCAGACTCAATGTCAAGTTCAATAATTTTAGGGCCTAAACTCTTCCATGTCCCAACCCCCTACCTCACACACACCAGGCTTTGTTACCATATAGCCTGCCCTTACACACCATCTGTTGTTAGTCACTAACAGTCCCCATTAACAACTACTCACCCGCCCAGTCAGATCGTTATCAACTCCTTTGTCTATCCAACTGCTTTTCTCTCTCTTTGAGTTCTATCCTATCATTTACTCCCTACCCCATCCCCCTCCTATTTTCTGCATATAAGCCAACGTTTTCCCAGCTACCATCAGTTCTGAGGAAGGGTCACTGGACACAAAACATTAACACTGATTTTTTTTCTTCACAGATACTGCCAGACCTGCTGAGCTTTTCCAGCAACTTCTGTTTTTGTTCCTGATTTATGGCAACCACAGTTCTTTCAGTTTTTATTACAGAGACTAATTGAGCCTTTCTTCCTATAATTAGAATTTGGATTAGGTTTTATTGTCAACTGCACTCAAGTACAGGGATACAGAAGTACAGTGAATTGTTTACAATGTTGCTAATCACAGCATTATCTTAGGTACAAGGTACCTAGGTACAAAATCTTAGGTAAAAGTAGAAAAATAGAGAAATTAGTTAAGTGCTTGTTTATCTTCTTTTAAATGTTAACTTTTTTGTTTCTAATTTTACCTCTTTATCCTATTAAATCTACTGCAATAACTTGTAATTAACTATTTCTTAACTGGTTTAAACCAGGGACTTGACTCATGGTCTACTTTAACTTGAATTATACAAATTAAAAGGTGGGTGGGGGCAGCAACTCAGATTGTGGCAGACATAACTGATAGCTGTACCATCAGACATGCCTTTTACATGGTGGTCAGTGAGACAGATCCATCAGCCAAATACTTTTCAAGCACCTCCTGTGGGCCAGGTGAACGTGGAATGCATTCCCCCAGCTCAACCCAAATTGAATGTCCTTCAATTTAATCAAGGTTCGGATCTAATGGTAAGGGTACAAACTCAAGTGTGCTGTGTGTGCACCAAAATTGCAAAGTGAGTAGATCAACATCAAACAGCAGCTCACAATGATTTGCACATGGACTGCCAAGTGAGATGCAGTTGACTTTCTTATACTGCTGCAGAGTGAGTGAAGATTCTGCTTGAAATAATCGAAGAGTTTTCCTAAGTTTGAGATGTTGGATTTTGCCAAAGAGATCAAAGGGGTTGGAGGGCTCATCAGGAGAAAGTATGCAATCAGTAATGGAGTCTATATTGGGAGTGACAGGAGATAGCATGTAGTGGTTAATACTGGAAAACTGTTTGTAGTCGAGTTCCCCACTCACCAGTGTTGGAAGCTCTGCTTCTTTAATGACCAGGATTTAATGATGCGTATGGATACAATTTCAAACTTTGTTGAGTATATAAATTTTACAAGTCTTGTGAACTGTGAGGAGGATAGGTTAGAACTTCAAAAGGACATACAGATAGTGGTCGAATGGATGGACAAGTGACAGAGGAAATTTAATTCAGAGAAATGTGAAGTGATTCATTTGCTAGCAAGAATATAGAAAGACGGTAGATAATTATGCAGAAAATTCTAAGAGGTCTGAAGGAACATAAAAACATGGGTATGTAAAACAGTGAAAGTGCCAAGACAGAATAAGAGAATGGTTAATAAAGTACACAGCATCCTACACTTTATAAATAGGACCATAGACTGTGAAGGCAAAGGTGTTATGTCAAACTTGTATGGAGCACCAGTTCAGCCTCAACTACAGTATTAGATCACATTCTGGGGTGTCACACTTCAATAGGAGTTGTTGAAGCAGAAAGAGTGCAGAAAAAATTCTCAAGAATGGTCATAGGAATGAATAATTGAAATAGATTTAGATTAGGTAAATATCGAGCACTATAATTTCTGTGATTTACATAAAAATGTGATTTAATATTAAGACTGTTAACGTTATTTTCCAATAGAACTGAGTTGAACACCTATAGCTTCTCCAACATAAAGGCTGCCTATTTCAACTTATTTGCATTCTCCAGCTCTGCCCCAATTATGAGCCATTGAATTGCTCATTCAAAATTCTTTTTTAACCAATAGACTTCACTATCCCAATGTTTCCCATGTTAGGATCTACTATCTTGCAACCTCTATAACTTTCCAACCCAAATTTTGGCTGAGTGTAAACTGACCTGCATCAGATCCTGAGATAACAAGGCGTAGAGCTGGGTGAACACAGCAGGCCAA